AAAAAAAAGCAAAATAAAAACAAGGAAAAGACTACGTGACTGATAATAGTATTCTCAATGTCAAAAATTGCTACAGCAGCAAAAAGAACCCGGTGCGTTTCGGCACGCACGTCACCTTGAGATAAACGATAACAGTTTATAGCAACCAATGAAAAAACACGGATAGCGCAACATGTGACACACCCTCTCTCCGCGATACGAAAAGAGCGTAAAAACCGTGAACATGTTAGTGGAAAATACCACTTTGAGACCGATAAATGTTTGTACGTCTTAGTTTTTGTTCCACTTGTGTTGACAGCTGTTGTAGATTATTTTCAGCTTGAATGTATGCTGGTGATCTATTTTAAAATCCTTCTTTCGCTTCATTCTTTCTACTTAATAGTTCTTACAACCCAAATTATTTACCGGCAGCCAGAAATTAATTAGATCTAGTAGAAACAAGTTTATAAAGAGCTGGCATCATCATATCGCCGTCGTCGTCTTCGTCAACAGCAGCAGCAGCAGCAGCATTACCACGTTTGTTACGTGCCTAAAACTGTTTTTTTTTTTTAAAGTGGGCTTTGTAAATGATGATGATGATGATGATGATGATGATGATGATGATGATGATGATGATGATGATGATGATGATGATGGTGGTGGTGGTGGTGGTGGTGATAATGACGACGATAATTATGAAGATGATGTAAATGTTAATAATACAATGTTGTTAATAATAGATTAAATCTTTAATAAATCAATTCAAAAGTTGTGTTTCCAGAAAGCTTTGCCTTCCTGGCACATGATTTGTGAATCACAATCTACACCTCTGGAAAACTGCTTAGCTGTTAGTGGTGTTTGTTTGAGTAAAGCGGAGCATACTGACACTGACACACATACTACGATCATAGTTCTTGGGAAAGGGAAAAACAGGACATATTATTAGCATACGGCCACAAACAATAGAGATCAACGATAAAAAGGTAGGACACGACGCACTAATGGCATCCCCTAAATACCTGCGATAACAATTTAAGCTTGAAGTACTTAGCGAAGTGCTTGTCAGTGGCCATAGTTCAAAATAATAAATTATAAGTCCTCACGTGCTTTGTCTATTACATTATCATATTTTCTAATGGACTTATCTCGACTTTTTTAGAGGCATTCATTAAAAAAATGTTTCCAACAGGTTGCAGTGCTGTGTATCCGTAGGGGGCGTTTTTTGTGGTCAGTAGAAATGAACTAGTTATTCAGTCAAAGGGTAATTGTGAAGATGAGAGAGACTTTCATTGGAAAGGAGCCCAGATTTATATAATAAATAAATATCGTACTCTTTTAGAATATTTAATTTATAAGTAAATGATATGTGAATATTACATTCTCATCCTATTTTCAACCGTAGATCTGGCATTTTTTTCCAAAGAGACACTTGGTAGACAAGTGGACAATAGGAACAAACAATTTAATACTGTTTTTTTGTGGTGGCGAACTGTGGCGGTAATGACTTTAGCAAAAACCTTAATCTGTCATTTTAAAATCCTTTTGTATTATTATTATGTGAACTCAAGACCAAACCCCC